ACGGGGGCGGGAAAGATGGCCAGCTCCAAGCTCGGGCCCCCAAGCGGCAAGGGCAAGGGGAGCAGCGGCGGCGGCGGCGGCGGCGGCAGCGTGTCCAGGTCGCAACAGCGTCCTCGGCGGACTACCAACGGGGGAGGGGGGGAGAAGGAAGGGGAGGAGGAGGAGGAGGTGGTGGAGGAGGGGGTGGAGGGGGAGGACGCGTGGATCATGGCTCTTCTACCTCCCAGGTGATGCTTTTTTTTTTTGGATGGCGGTGTGGTGGACGTTGTTGTTATTGCTCTTGCTGTCGTCGTTTGTGGTGGTGGTGGTGGTGGTGATATTGCTGCAGTATCACGTGGTCGTTTCCACACGGGACGGCCCTGCCCCCCTGCCCGATCTCCGAACAACGCACAAAAACAGCACGCCGCCCCCCCCCTCCCTTTCCCTCTCCCTCGTACCCAAAGGACTAACAAGAACGAGCAACACGACAACGCCTACAACCTGGTGACGGCCCTCACCTGGCAGACGGTCTTCGCTCTGGCGCTGCCCCACATGGCCCCATACGCTCGCGCGGTGGCCCCGCCCACCCCTATCCTGGGTTCCACGGCCCTGTGCCTCGCGGCCGCGCCCGCCGGCACGACGGAGTCGAAGCGAGGCTCTAGGGTGGCCCTCAGGGCGGCGGAGAGGGTGGAGGCGGACAGGGTGGCTCGCGGGAAGGCCCTGATGCGCGCCCGGCGCAGCCTGCTGGAGAGGGAGTACTGCTCTATCCCGCTTCAGGAGAAGGCCTTGCTGCTCGAGGTGGGTGGGTGGGTGGGGGGGGGTTGGGTGAATCCGCACTTGAATCCGCGCTAGATTGGAGGCAGTTTTTTTATTTTTAATAAGGGAGTATTCGACACACAGTAGTAGCTGACCCGCATGAGATTACACGCCTATCGCTCTTCTTCTCTGTCAACTCACGAGCTCTGATCCGGGGCGGGCCACGCAGAAAAACAACGTAATTTTACCGTTCCGTATTTCTTCTCTCTAGCCCAAGAGCCCAAGAGCCGGGGGCCACGCAGAACAGAACTTTCTCAACGGGGTGTTAAAAAGAAGCTTATGTTTTTGTTCTGGCAGGTGCTGGTAGACACGGCCTACGAGACCAAGCGCATCCGGTCCCTGCTGGCTGATAACATGGCAGCAAGGATGAGCCTGGAGTCGCAGAGGCGCGAGGAGATCATCGTGTACAACCGAGAGATGAGGGAGAAGGCCACAGCACAGAAAGTCAAGGTGGGTGCCTGTCTACGTACGTCTGTGTAGTGCTTGTGGGTGGTGCAATGTTCGGTTTTTGGAGGGATAAGGCTGCGCCGCGCAGTAGGTCAAGGTGTGCCTCATTCTACATGCGGCAGTTGTTGTTGTTGGTAGTCTTCGCATTTTGGAGTGAGAACGCTACCACGCAGAAGGTCAAGTGGGTGTGACGTGCTCGTTGTGAAACGTAACATGGGCCGGCGACACCCGACATATCGCTCCGTCCCAGAATTGTAGGGAGGCGAGGTCAATGGTCTCTCGACTACGGCATGCTTTTACATGTGTACCCC